CACTTTACCGCAAGACATTTAGATTTTTTCTTCCGCAGCTTCGACCCACACAATTCCTTTTTTTCGGCTTATGAGTAAATTTCGTTGCTGATATTGAGAAGTAAACGTTGTCAAGATTGAAGACTGAACATATGTATAAACCAACAAGTTTTTTAGGTTAAATATCTCTGTTTTACTTTGGAGGCAACATATTTATATACATACATTAGGCGTATGACTTTTTTAATTAAATGTGTGATCACCTTTATTTACTCCTTTGTGTAGAGGATAAGGAGTGATGAAAACCCGACAAAAATAGTAGTAGGGAGCTTCGAGAAAGTAAAAAATGTATGTATATTTACACTGAAAAAGGGACAAACATATACATTTATTCAATTGTAACCGAATTATGACTGCGGTTAAAAATTATTTTATCCAGTTTTCTATTTTTTTTTTTTTTTTTATTTTGTTGACTTGGAATTTTTTATACAGGTTGTCCCAGACCACCCGTCCGTCCACACCCTCTAAAATGGAGTGAAATCTTTTTATTGAAAAACGCGAAAACATACCCGCCAAATCTTTCGGTGATATAACCGACTTCCGTTTTCGACCGGAAGTGGGGTAAACTGACCGGAAGTATATTTTTTTTTTTATTAGGCATACATACATACATTTTTCTACTACTGATTCGGATTTTGAGGATAAAAATAATTACGTAAACTTTGTTTGAACCTTTTTTCTCGGAAGTACCTTTTTCAACCCCTAAGGGCGGGATTCACAGTGCTTAGTTAAACGATTCTTAACTTAACCACCAACAAGAGTTTAACTTTGAATTTATATTCAGAGTTGCATAGTTAACTATGAAAATTCATATCGCCTGAAAATATACAAGTTCTAAATATCGAAACTTTTCTATTCAAATTTGAAATTCGTTCCACAAAAAAAAAATTTAAATTTCACAATAGTTTAAGTGTATATATGTATATCAAAATCAATAGTTAAACTTTTGTCAGTGGTTAACTACGCACTGTAGTAAAAATTATGTACATATGTATGTAGGTGTGAATGTAGTAGCCAGCCGTGGGCAGTCCAGCAGCTTTGGCAAACCTGCAAGCATATGCCACTCTCGACGTTCTGACACCATGCCAGGGATTTCAGTTGCGGAAGTCGACCCCCACCCGATCCCCCGCTACACCCACAAAAGTGTGAGCTTGCGCTTGCGGCTGCTTTGGCTTTTCATTTTCTTCGACATTTCATAAATCTGTTCACAGTTTTGGTATTTTCCTCATTTCGTTCCTATTCGCTTTCGGTTTTATATTTGGTGTTCTTTTTTTTNATCGCTAACTGTCGACGAACATTCGGAAAGTAACAAGCGATAGGTTTAGATTTAGAATCCCACCACCAAAACCGTTAACTTACTTATATATAGCTAAAATAGTATATAGGAATCTTAGACTAAAATTAAAAATAATTTTTCTAATCGTATTCCGAATCTTACCTGTATATCATTGATCCACCATGTCAAGTTCGCTGCTGGCTTGGAGAAATCCGACGAGCAGTTGCCGTTGATAATGTCCCCAAGGCGATAGCGTGAATGAATACCTGTTACGACGGGACGTTGTGTGGGCAGTTCTGTGAGGGAATTTGAGAAAAAAGTTTATGAAATTTCGTAAACGCAAGTACTCGTAAGTACGGATTGAAATTAAACATCCAACGGATGCCATCCGCACAGATCTAATCCGATTGGCAATGTCTTAACCTGAAGCGAAGTATGAAGGATTAGATTCTTGCTAATGGTATCTGTCGGATATCGTAATAGGCATAAATATTTCTATTTACTTTTTACATTAAGTATCCTAAGCTAACAATTAATGACTTACCTACAACTTCCATCTCGCCGGACACAAAGAATGTATCAAAAGATGGAGCATCGGCTGAAACCTCGCAGCTATATTTACCAGATGTAGGATTACGGATGAAGACGTGAGTAGCATTCGATTCAGACATCTGCACAATAATAAAGAAACGTGAAATAAATTTATTTGCATAAATATATAATCTCTGGAATAAAATTACATACATATGTACATAATGTATGTGTACAACAAAGACTTTTGGTACATGCTATTTACAAAATGAAAATCACATGTTTCTTCGATAGAATGAAATGCTCAGACACGAATAAAGGAGCGCTAGTGTTTTGGCGGCGAAAAAGGACGCATAAAAAAATTTTACGAAAAAGGGCGCTTAAGAAAAACTTCGGCGAAGAGAGACGCGTAACCTAGTTGACGGCGAAGAGAGACGCGTAAGCTAGTTGACGGCGAAGAGAGATGCGTAGTCATAGATTTATTCTTGGCCAAGGACTGTCACTTCAGCATCATTTCCCAAAAACTCTTTAGGGAATTTACATACAATTACAGAGGAGCGAACTTCCACTAAATACATACATACATATGTATGAAGGTACGATCCCTGGTCCAAGCGAAACAAACGTTGGAAAAAGAAAGCGATCGCCCTTCGGGAGGCAATGGCAAACCAACGAGTGCACTTCAGGTATGCAAAAACTTCTCAGTAAACCATTTTGCCGCTCAGAGACGGAGTAAATTTGTAGGTCCTTCCATTTGTGTTAAGACATCAAGACGAATACCCCAAGTTGTAAGAGAAGCTCGACCAAAAACTTAGCATATACTAGGGATGTTAATTTTGCGACTTTTTCCGATCCCAGGATTTTCGGGATGGCGTTAGCCCCGGGATTTAGATATTCATTACTTTTCAACAACTTGAATCGAAAAAAATGCTTCTACCCAGCTAGCAAAATGGTCAGAAATCTGTTAGATATCCGTCAGACTCGTCGGCAAAAAAGTCAGAAATCTGTATGACTTTGACCGACATCGGTCAGAGAAGTGTAGGGATAGGTTGACAGGAAATCTAACCGACACGACGTGGGAAATTCTGACTTAATTACCGATGATTCTGACGGGTATCTAACAGCTGTCTGACCAAATAATCATCAGACATATCGGAAGAGGAAATAAATAAAAGTCTCCAGACATTTCGCCAAGAAATCTGTATGAAACCTGTAAGACTTGTCTAAATAGTCAACTTTTTATTCCGGCTTGTCTGATATCAGAAATTGTCTGGCAAATGTGCTAGCTGGGTATATTGTTTGAGAAGCTCTCCTACCATGAAATAAATAATAAATAAATGGGTTTGAAACCTTCTTTTTTATTTAAAGTGGCGTTTTTGTTTTTTCTCTCTGACCGCAGGATTTATTTTGAAGGACTTTGTAATTTCAAAGATATGATTAATACCAAAAATTGTTAAAAAAAAATTCAATGCAATGTAGAATAATAATATGGGTAACAAATGCAATAGAAAATTTCTTTAGAAATTAAAAAATTTAAATTTTCTGGACATTTTCAATATTTACCAGCCCTTCTGCACCGGAAAGTTGAATCTCTGTAAATTCTGCAGGATTTCCTCATTAATGTTTTACCCATACTTCTTCTCTAAGCACATTTCTCTGAATTTTGTAAATCATTTTTCAATTACTGACGTTAGAGTGAAAAACTAAAAGTGCAATTTTACTATATTTGGCTCAGGGTTTCGCGAATATTTTGTTTTTAAAATTTTATCGCGCGGTGTTATATGTATAATAATAAAATACTAATTATGAAATAAAAAAAGAAATATAGCCAATACTGGTCAAGAAATGCAGTTTCTATTATTGCCATCAGTGCAAATTACAAATCCTGAAAATTTTCGAGATATTAAAAAGTCCGGGATTAACATTCCTAGCATATACTCAGTGGAAGAAAGCAGAATGATTTCATGAAACGTTGTATAAAAATGCCTGCTTGAACACAATTTCATGTATTCAACTCAAAAGAGTGTCCCTTGGGGAACTGATTTCTGTATGAGAAGTTTTAAATCCATTAAATTTCTTTATGGAAAAGTAGTCAAATAAGGATTTTGTGATTCTTTAACCTCGCAAAATAAGCGTTAATAATGGATAAACAAAAACCCTACACAATCTGGTTTTCTTGTTGGGTTTCACGCCCGTGTAAAAGCTAATTAAAGATTTAATGTTTTTCCAACAATTTCTGAGTGGAAAAAAACGGCGGTTTTGGAAAGTCCGAGTGGGTAATTTTGTATACACATAAATATAAATTTGTAAGTATGCACACAGTTGCGCCATTACAATATAATATACAGTATATGTAAGTACTAAAACACAGCTGTCAGATGTGGAGTATCCTTTGGCACTTCGCTGTCCCTATATTGCACATATTTACATACATATGTATACACATGCAGTGTGCAGAAATGTGCTCCTTTCTTTTGAGTACATTTTTCAGTAGCATGGGAATTTTCAATAAGCTCGCCTTGAATTCGCCGCACATGCTATGTATTTATAAATTTCAGTTCATTGTAATTATGTGTATCCCAGTTCTTACTTTAACATAACTCTTTGCTCGCATATTTAAGTAGATTTGCATACATATCTATATGAAAGGACATACACATACGTACGTACGCAACAGCAATGTATGTACAAATTCAAGCATCGTAATTTTTGTCTTTGTATACAACTATGTACATACTTACATACATTCTGATACAATGCGGAATGCGT